TCCCCAAATCATGGTTTTTCACCATATTTTTGTGATTTAGTCAAATTAAGACCTTCTAAAGTGTACTAACACTTTCTATTGATTCTAACTACTCAAAATGTCTTCTAAACACTTATAAATCATCCAGAAACATGAATCATAACCTTGAATACATAAATTCAAATTCAATAAAAGTTAAGATCCAAGTCTAGGAGGTTTATAAAGTCTTTTCAAGAAGTCTCTCAGGAAAGTTTTGACTTTGTTTTAAGACATAAGTTTCAGGTTAAGCAAAGAGGGAAGATTTGAGTTCATTTCTCCAAAAGTTATAGGGAACCTAAGTATTCCCAAGAGTTAAAAGATGTTTTCACATTTGTTCAAGAAAGAGAAACACAGATTTCCAAGAGAGATTTTAAGCTGAAGTTTTGAGTAATTATCTCAAACAAAAAAATAAGTTTTGATTTAAAACAAATGAGCTAAGTATATCTGGGAGTAGTATTGAGCACCGATATAGGGATGTGTGTTCACATTAACTAAGTCTCCATAAACCATGTCGTCATCACGGGTAATAAAGGATCATACTTTTTAGATGAATCCTTAAGTGTGCATCTTAGAATAGACTAGTGGATACACTTAGTTAAGTCAAACTATATGACGGCAAAGTATAGGACAGTTCCAGAAGTGTGGCAAGACGATGTATCACCAACTAGGCTCATAGTGGTGGTTGTCGGTTAGAGAAACTCCCAGATAAACTATATTACATTATTATATGAGTAAACATGAGTTTTTTATTGCATTTTCATTAGGGAACTAAATTGTTTCCACTGTTTTTACAATCTTTTTAATATATTGCATAATGCTTTATTGCTTTATATTGAGTTAAGTCATTCAGAAGTTGAGTATAGCCAAGGTAAGTGTTCCTTTTAGATTTTTTTCAAGCCTATGTTTTGTTTAGCATTCCTACTCTTGGTTTTAGAGGCTACATAGACAGTCAGATGTTAGTTCGTTAGTCTTTTCATTTCATTATCTTATGGGCTAGTCAAATGTATTTTCTATAATTTGAGTTTATCTTGTTAAGTCTTTCGCTGAGTAAGTAAGCACTTTCAAGGGTTCTCTTAGGACCAGCAATGATTTTCGAGTGACAATTCCTCCCAAGGAGTAGGCTCAAGGCGTGACAAATGGTGAATTGGAGACTTGACCTTGAAAACCTAGACTTCTTCTTTTTCTTCTTTACAGAGAGAAATATTTTAGTTGATGAACTTGATCGACTTTAGGGAATTTAAGTGAGTGAATTGAATTGGGGGTTCAAAAATTAAGAAGCTAACAAAAAAAGCCCCTTTAGAATAATTATCGGATCTCATCGATAGTTGGACCCACCATCCTTAGGTCCAACTACAGACCAACCTGGTCTATGGGGTTCAGAAACTGGATTCTAGACCCTCGAATAATGGGACCATGTATGGTCCATATTTTAACCCATGGTTCATACATGGACACATTAAGTTCCACTTTTGGCACTCAAAAATTTACTAATCTGGAACTCACCTACGAGACCTACCTACGATTCATTCTAGTGAACCGTAAAAGAGTATTAAACTTAACATTTTTAATTCATCTAAATTTTCCACCCATAGAACATCGGTGGTTTTGTCAGAATCGGCACTAGATCTATGAAATGTCACTCCCCACTACACCCTTAAAGTAACATAGGTCCTAGAATGATGAGTGACCCCAAGTTAGCCCTGCGGGCATATATCAAGAATACTCAGAATGACAGAATAGACATACAATAAATGGATCCTAAAACAATGGATAACTGAAAGTGGGGAATACTCAACTAGTCTGGATGTATAAAAATACTAAGAGTTTAAATATAACTCAAAGAAAAACCTCTAACAGAGTTGAGTTGCTCGAACATGCCCCCAGCTTACTCTAAGAAAACTGAAAACTGAAAAGGAAAAAAAGACTAAAAAGAAAAGCATGTTTATTGTCCTCGAAGAATGAGGATTCACCACTGAAGTTGTTGAACTGCAGACCGAGAATCGATCTGAGTGTGATCTAGATGTTGAGTACCTCAACATACATCATGAAATGATGTATTGCAAAGTATGTGTTAGTACTTGGATTGTACTGAGCATGTACGATATAGATGCTAAAAGTTTTACCGTGGGAGCTGCTATTAATTGACATAAAACCCTGTGAGTGAAACATGAAGTCGTATGTATACTCTCCATCGAGAGGACTCAATATACCTTGCCAAGAGTATAAAGGCATGACTTGCGTGATCACTAAATCTGATGCTCAGTAGAGGGGACTTATACTCCTAGTGAGAACATAGTCTTAGGAGTATGAGGATACATTGAACCGTAGTCCAACTTGGTGATAAGTCTACTCTCAACTGAATATGTGTATGACACAAATGTAACTAAAATGCTCAATTATTAAATAGCTCAAAATATTGACATGCAATCTGAGAATGCAACATTTATGTATTAATATGTGAATTCGGATAATGATTATTTGTTTAACTAACCAAGCAAGTATAATTCATGAACAAAGATAATTTATACAAATTAGGGTTTCAGTTTCATACAAAGAATTAAGCAACTTTCCAAGAAACAAGCTATTTCGATGTAGGGTACTATAAGAACTTAATAATAGTAAATATCCAAGGTTTTTATAACCCCTAGGTCTAGACATGATATGGAGAATCAAGGAACTAACTGAATTCTAGGAACCCAGTGGATAAAAGGAACCCACTACTGAAATCTTATATACCTGGTGAGGAAATCGTTGAACCTTGAAGAACATTATTGCTTGTTGTTAGGAGGTTTGGTCAGTTTTTTCCTCTTCTATTTGCTCCAAGTTTGGATGATTTTTGGAGAATGAGGGTTCTAGGTAAGTGTGACTAAGTTATTAGGATCAGACTCAATAAAATGGCATAGTTTAGGCATTAAACCATGTAGTTTAAGGGCCCGATGCATAAAAAAAACACCTAAATAACCCTAACTTAAAGCAGACCAAGGCCATTCACAGAGGTGCCTATGGACCTTAGTTGGACTACTAACCATCGTCCATGGTTGTGGTTCGTGGTATGCCCAACAATGCTTTACCAAAACGAGCATAACCTTTTAATCCGATATGGGATTTTAGCAAACTCGATGGAGTTGGAAAGAGGATTCAATTATATTTAATTTGATAGGTCATGGGCCACATAATTTATTTTTTTCTTAAATATATGACCATTTGAAGTTGACCCAACAACAATTTTCCTCTAATTGGTTGTTGACCCTTACCTACGGTATGTAGGTCCAACCACAGACTGTACTCGTCGACCGTAGATGGGATCAGAGACCATAAAACTATAGAACCCAACGACAAAACCATCCTACGGTATATAAATCAATCAAAGAATCGTGGTTAATGGGCATAGGTGTGATATTTAGATTCTGAAACTCCCCCAAGTATGGACTGAACCACGGGACCCCATCTACAGTCTGTGGTTCTACCTACGGTTCATGGGTGGTTTCCATTAGTTCTGATACCAGATTCTAGAAAGCTGCATATTTAATTTTCTCAAGTCCGAGGTGTTACATAAAACCTATATTTTTTCCTTCTTTTTGAATTTGGTTTGTTACAAGGACATAGAGAGGTGTCACATCACCTTATATACATCGAAATATATATTATGAATAAGTTTTTTTCAAATTGGTATGTTGTGGCTTTAATGGGTGTTGGGTCAAGCAAACCTCGAATCCATATTTTAATGGTTCTGGTGAGTCTGGTATGCCGAATTTAGTTGGGTACTATATCTGATTTATGTGCTTGGGATTCCAAACAAATCCTGAGGTTCCAATTGGTGAATGTTCTGTGCCTTTTGTTATTGCATATATATCTCGTGACTGATGTTCTCTTCCTCGTGATCAGGTTGTTTCCTTCGAGGTCGTATCTCATTGTTTCATGTGATTCATATCACATGGTTGGAATGTCCCTGGTAAAAATTTATATTTCACCACATTATAAAATGGGTGCTTTAATTTCCTTTTTGCAATCGTGAAGAGCAATGCCTAGGCATAATTATGTTTTTCCAAAATTAGGGTTTCTTTTCCATTTTCCATTTTTGAACCCTGAGAGCTCGGTGTGGGCGATCTGACGGAGGTTTTTTGAGATTAAGCATTCAGGTAAGTGATTTTGACCCTAGTCCTTCATTACCCCATTATTGTTATTATTCCATAAATTCTTGTTTTTGATTTTAAAGAAATAGAAAATTTCTCTTGAATTTGAATTTCAAGGGTTTGAACTTTTAAAGTTGATTTCAACAGATGTCTCATCCAAAGTTCATTCAAATCATTTGTTCCTTGGATGAATTATATCGTCTCGTAAGTACATCCTACATCTTCTGTCTTTAATTTTGTTTTTCAATCTTTAATTCACTCACGGATTACCAATTCTATTTTTGTGCAATTATTTCTCCTTGTTAACTATTGATTTAGATCCAACAATCAGAATATACTTTTAAGAAATTATATATGGGTATTAAACGAGAATTTCTCAAAATCTTGTCTGAAGACAAAAGAAGATTCACTCAACCAAAAAAATATTTCTTCCACACCTAATGGTAGACATTTAGAGGCTTGGAGCATCAACATATACCATGATTTCAACATTAGATAAACCAAATATATGAATGTGTTGATAGGAGGAGCATTTACCTGTAGAATTTATTGGTCGAGGTACTTACAAGTTGACTATATAATTAGGTTTGATGTCATGTAAGAATTGAATAATCAGCCTTATTCATTAGAAGAAGGTAAATAATCAGATAATAAATCCACAAGACCTACAACTCATTCTCTTAGTTAATGTGGGACAATTTAATATAGGTTGAAAAAATATATTGTATACACATGCATGTATACCATTTTGTAGGTTTGTTCCAAGATGTAAAAAATATAATTATGTAGATCTACTTCTGTCTCATCCTATGTCGTATGATACTGAATTCAAATATATTTTGCATACAGAGGATTCCACCAGTATTCGCAGAGAGCCACTGCAAGGACATGTTAAATCATGTGTTTCTTCAGGCTCCCCATGGAAAAGCATGGGAGGTCGAAGTGGAACATTCTCAAGGACAAATTTGGTTGGCGAAAGGGTGGAAGGAATTTAGTAACTTATACGCAATAAGCGTCAAGCAACTTTTGATGTTTACATACAATGCTCGTGATCTTTTAGATGTCACCATATTTGGTATGGATACAGTTGAAATTAAATATCCGATACAAGATACTGAATCATATGATTCTATGGATATTTTTTATCATTCTACTGAAAATCTGAGCCATGGCCCCTTAGTTGCGAAGATAATACAAAAAAGACAAGAAGGGGAAGAAAAGGATGATATTCGACTGAACCTTCAGACTGATGCAAATGTAATTGAGGGAGAAGAGGAATATATTCCAGTTAACCTTCAGATTAATGCTAATATAATTGAGGAAGAAGAGGAAGATATTCCGGTTAACCTTCAAACTAGTGCTAACGAACTTGCGGAAGAAGAGTCTCAAGGTAAGTAATATCCTTAACTGGTTATTAGTTATTAGGTGAATGCATTTAGTAGTAACACATTGCATTTAGATATCTATTTCAAGAAATAAGGTAAGGTTGCGAGGATCACGAGCAACAACCCAAAATTGGTACTGGTAAGACCAAAAGCTTATTAGACTTTTTAAAATAATTAAGAGACTGTTTTTAGTGTAGATAGAGACTTTTATATCAACATAAGATCTTTAATCTTTCCTAAAAACAAGTAGAAATTCCATGTTTCGGTTTATGTCATAAAAATTTCAATAGACACATATAGTTTTAAAATGAAATGAAGCTTACTATTGAAAGCAGTGATTACAAATATGTCATAAGATTAATGTATTTTGCCATAAAACTTTTAAAACTTGTGATCATAGATACACCGTAACATTTCGATAGGAACCATATCATTGTAGTTGTTATACTTATATCAAGCCTGTTGCAGATCAGGAGGTCGAAGAAGATAATCATAGAAGTGAAGAAGTTGGTCAAAAGAATAACAATCGGCATAGCGTGGTGAACTTAGCTGATGACACTCCATATTTTGAAATTGTTATTAAAAAGACACACACTACCTATTTGGTAAGGTTTAATAATTTGTACATTTGCTAGATTTTTCATTCCTTGACAATCAAATCATTTTCCTAAAAATCTAATGATCATGTTTGTTTGATAAATATGTTTATTAGACTATCCCAATAAGATTCGCCAATAGGACAAACATAGTCAACATGAAGAATATGAGGTTGGTTAATGGAGAAGGAATAAGATGGGGAGTGGAAATAGAGTACACTAAGTGTAGGGCTATCATAAAAAAAGGATGGACAGAAGATGGGGAGTGGAAATAGAGTACACTAAGAGTACACTGGTGTGACTTGTCGCTTCAAATTTATTCAGGGCCGCATTGCTAATGTTTTGCAGGTTTAGAAGATCCCAACACCCCATTCCTTATGAAATTATTAGCCACAATTTCTTTGGATTGTATTCTGGCCATTATAGTTCGGCTATGGGAGATGCTAGGCAAATATTATAATTATTTTCTTTAAAACACAGAGAAACGATCAGTATATGTATTCAGTAGTATTATGCTTCAATTGTCTTCTTATAACTGCTAAGTATATGTATTCAACAAAGTATATGTAACCATTTTATTCAGTAAACATAGTGGAATGTAATTCTTACTTGTTCTTGTCTTATATATATATATATATATATACACACATACACACACACACACACACACACTACCATTATTATCTTAAAATCACTAACTCCCTAACTTGAATGTTAAATTACTATAATCCCCCAAACATAAAACACTCAATTTAGTATGTCTTCTATATATTTTTAAATTGAGTGTCTTAAGTTGGGGGTATTATAAGCTAATTCATGCTTTAAGGTAGTATTTCTACTATATTATATTAAAAGTTGGCACATTTTCACATTGATGGTTATGACTTCGTCGAAGAGTTCTGACTTTTCCGATGATTTGTGACCATTATGAATGGTTGTGATTTTCTGAAGGGTTATGACTAATGAGATAAGGCCTAATAAATATTTTTTTATACTATCTTCTATTTGCTATAAATAGAGATGATTTTCCACATTTTCGAACAATGAATTTTCTAAGTGTTTATTCTTCATAAAATAAGGAATATTTTGAGAAATATTCCAGTGACAAAAATTTTGAGGGTCAATTAGTGATAGAAAAAAAAAGAACAAAGAAAAGATAGAGTAGAGCAGAGATAGTATGTGAAAAAGAAATTTTTTGAGTGACTTATTATGTTGTCTGCACTACATACAAAATTATCATTAGCGGCAATTATTTTTTAATTACTGTTAAATATGTATTTTTAGCGGCAACTAGCACTGTTTGTATATGTTCCTAAAGCCTTTAACGGCATTGGTTTTAATGGTACTTATATAATGCTGATAAAGACTTTAGCTTTCTTTATTAATTTCAATATTTAATGCCGCTAAATTTTATTTTTGTTTTAGTGTTGTAGCAGTCTTTTTATAAAACAAATACATTGCAGAAAAACATGAGCTAAAAATTAGAAACTACAACACTAAGATTGTCTCCTAAAAAATTGACAAAAACCCACAGTTAAACTTCTTCCTAAAGACTAGGACAAAAAATAGAACAGACATAACGATAGATATTTTATTCCTAACGTAACTTATTAAAACTAACACCCTCCCTTAAACTGAAAGCTTTCGAGCTTCAGTTTAACTTCATGATCTTCTTGAGCTCGTCCATAGTATCGTTACACATCAACCTCCTCGTATTTTAGGTTTAGTAAAAATTCATGTCAATTGATCTACACCAACTTTATTGTTCCTTCATTATTGAGATCTCACAAGAAATAGTACTTCACTTCAATGTCTTTCTTCTTCCATGTAATAGGGGGACCTTTTGATAGCTTAATGGAAGAGTTATTGTCACAAAAAATTCTAGTTGTTTTTTCTTGTTTGAATTGTAGTTCTTCAAGAATCCTCTTCGACCAAACAGTTTGACAAGCACAAGTTGTAGCACTGATAAAGTGACAACTTTTAGCTTCCCGGAACACCATGAAACAACCCTTGTGCCTAGTACATAAACATAGCCTGAAGGATTCTTTCAATCGTCTCGATCTCATCTGTAGTCGCTGTCAGAAAAACCAATCAAATCAGATTTTTCACCCTTCTTATAGAACAAACCAAAATCCTTAGTTCCTTGTAAGTAGTGAAGGATCCTATTGGCAACTAGCAAGTGAATTTCTGTCGGACACTCCATATACCTGCTTATAAGACTTACAACATACATGTTGTCAGAGCCTGGTAGCAGTATGCTACAGTAAACTACCTAAAATTTGCCTGTAGAGCGTTTTGTCTACCATATCTCGGCTTCCAACTTTTTTTAGCTTCAAACCAAACTCAACCGGAGTATCAATGGGATTGAAATTCTTCATATTTAATCAATCCAAAATTTCCCACATATTTATTTTGGGTAACAAGTATGCTATCAACATATTGCACTATTTTTAAACCACAAAAAAATGCATCTTACCAAGATCAGACTTCTTCAATTCATCCATCATAGATCTCTTCAAATTAGAAAACATTACATTATCATTCCCAGTAAATATAAGATCATCAAAATATAAATACACTATGATCAATTTTGCAGATTCTCCAATTTTAACAAAGAGAGAGTGTTCATATGGAAATTTCTGGAAACAAAATTTTAGAAAGTAAGACTCAATGTGACTATACCAAGCTAGTGGAGATTGCATTAGTCCGTGAAGACACTTTTAACTTGTATACCTTATGTTCATCTCCAATTTTTATCTAATCAGAAGGTTGCTCCATAAATAACTCCTCCAAGTATCAATTTAGGAAAGCTGATTTGACACCCAATTTAAATATAGGCTACAAATTTTGTGTCGTCGGCACAATTATCATTTTTGATGGTGTCATGCCTTGCACTGGAGAAAAGACTTCTAGGTAGTCTACACCATGTTCCTGTTTTTATCCGTTAGCCACCAATCGCGCCTTATACTTGTCTATTTGACCATTTTCTTTGAGTTTCATCTTATAAACAAACTTAACACCTATGGTTTTGTACCCCTTCTAAGATCTGATAACTTTCAGGTGCTATATTTTTTATAGCATAGCTTTCCCCCATTTTTCCTCTTTAACAGCATTCTCAAAGGTTGTAGGATTGTGATCTGCAAACAATCCAAAGTTGGAAACATATTCATTAACATGAAATCTTGTTACCTTATACTCCATCATCCAAGCATGCATTCTGTGAGCAAGACGAAGAGGGTGATCAGGTGCGTCAATTTCTTCCAAACTGGTGGTGAAATTTCATCAATTCCTTCAGTGGCAATTTAAGAAATTTCGTGCGTTGTAATTTCTTCTTTGACATCATTATTAATTTAATTTGAAGTAGATTGATGTATATTCCAATCCCAAGTGTTCTCCTCATCAAAAACTACATCTCTGCTACTCACAACCTTCTTTGTCAATGGATTGAATAGCTTGTATGCCTTGGATGCCTGGCTAACACCAAGAAAAACACATTTCTCACCTCTATCATCTAGTTTCTTTCTTTTTGCTTCTGGAACATGTGGATATGCTTTGGACCCAAAAAATTTGAATCGTTTTACTGTCGGATTGCTTTAGCTCCAAGCTTCCTCGGGTGTTACATCTCGAAGACCAAAAATGGGACTTATGTTCAAGATGTGAATGTTCCAATTCACTTCTTTTGGCCAAAATTCCTTAATAACTCTTTGCCGAGCCAGTAAGCTACGAACCATGTTGAGAATGGTTCTATTCTTCCTCTCTGCCACACCATTTTGTTGCGGTGTATATGTTATTGCAAGTATTTTTTAATGCATAAGTCTCAAAAAATTTATCAATTTCCTTGGAGCAGTATTTTCCTCCCCGATCTGTCTGAAGGTCCTTAATGGTCCTGCCAATCTCATTCTCCATACGTGCTTTGAAGCTTTTAAATACATTAAAAGCCTCTGGATTTCTTGCAGAATGTACACCTAAGTCTTTCTTGAATAATCATCAATAAATGTAATAAAATACCTTTTTCCCCCATTAGAGATTGGTGTTAATGGTCCATAAATATCCAAGTGTACCTTCCTTAATACCTCATTCACTCTCCATAACTTATTTGTAGGAAACTGAGAACGATGTTGTTTTCCAATGACACATTTTTCAAAAACTTGAGATGAAACAACAATTTCAGGAATCCATGTCACTGTACTCTTCATTTGAAGTATCTTCAAGCCACCAAACTGCAAGTGACCATATCAAAAATGCCACAACCATGAAGGGTTTTTCATTTCCGCCACATAGAAGGATTGGACATTTTCAATCTTCAAAGGAAACACTCAATTTCAAATAAGCAATAACTCCTATGGAGGGATCATTAATTTCACATGTATCATCACTTAACGCGATGACGTACCCTTTTTCCAATAAATTGATTTTCAATGCAGGAACATAAAACATAAAACACATTAGATATCATTTCAACACACCCATATTTGCTCTAAAATTGATATTACCCTTTCCTATCACATTCATTGTTGATAGATCACCAAAACTAATTGTCGACCAAAAGTTTTCATTTAGATTAGTAAAAGAAGACTTACTTCCAGTCATATGGTTACTACAACCGGTATCCACATACCAAATAACTTGATTCTCGAGCTTGTTTTTTCGCATGAACTGCCATCAAAAAAGTTTGTCCTTCCTTATTCTCAGTAAAATTTGACTTTTATTCCTTCTCACTAGGCAGCCTTGTATGATTACCAAATTTATGGCAACGATAACATTCTAACAAGTTAAGACACTAAAAAGGGGGAAATCTCGAGTTCTTTAGAGAATCTAGGCTTGGTTCGAGGTAGGTAATGGTTGTATCTTGTTTGAATTTTGTATGCATGGTATCTACTGCTTTACAGTATCACTTGTGCAATACATGTTGGGAACACATAAGGGATAAATGTGATATGACGTCATGTTAATAATCTCATGCGATGAACATATTTTTTTCTTGTGGTTTCAAGTGTTGTTGTTCATTGAGATTGTGATTGTGCATGTTGTTTATGATTGATGATTGGCTTAGGTACTATGTTATTTCGGGATTACTAATGGTTGTATCAGATACCATATGCTTGGTATAAACACTAACATTGATCGGCTTGGGTACCACGTTGATACACTGATAATTTGTGTGTAGGTCCTATGAGAGAATCGAGAATGTGTATTTATGATTCCATAAGAGGAATGGGTATGTGTAATTGCGATAAAATAGGACATCTTCTGGGTATTGGTTGATTTAGGATATTATGACTGTAGTATATGCATTTTTTATTGTTGCTTTGTGTGTTGACCTGCCTTTACTATGTTGTAGTTGGTTGCTTACATTCACAGTTTGAAATTGTCCATTCGATCGTACCATTACACTATGATTGTGCTTTCATAATAGACTTTCTCTTTCCTTATTGTAACGACGTGTTTCTGTCATTATGGAAAAGTCAATTGGGAAGGAATTTGGGCCTGAAAATTTTTGAGTAGAACCTTGGGAATTTCGGACCTAGGCCATACTTGAATGAATTTTAAGTCAAGTGCGGTCTAGGGAAATCTGGTAATGGATGGGGGATTTATTATGAGTTTGATTATGTGAGTGGATAGATAAGACTTTTATGAGCCTATACGGATTTACGGAATCAAATTTAGGCAAATAGAACTACCGAAAGTGATCTTGGCATGAAATGGTAGTTTTAGCATGTCCATGTTTAAAGGTGTATTGTCAAATGGGAGATTGGAACTCAAATTATGAGTTTATGTCTCTGTGCAAGCCGTTGGGGTGGGATTAATCCTGCTAGGGAGGGGCCACTGTTGCAGGATGGGGTCCGTCGTGGCAAGCCAGTAGCGAATTAAACAGGGAAAAGCCCCACAATTGTTATTTTCTACAAAACTTCATTCTTAAGAGCTAAGGGAAGACCCAAGGCAGTTTCTTACCAGATTTCCATGGCTTCTCGAGATAAAGGTAATCTAATTACTCCCTTATTTGCATTTCAATTCTAAGAACGTAGAATCCTTGTTAATTATCGTTGCGGGCTGGCCTGAAGTTGATGGTGGGGAAAAGTTGTAGTTGAGCATTAGGATCATGGGCTTGGCCTTGGGTTAATATTTTATTATAATTTGGGCAAATTAGGTCTTCTTTTTTTATCCTTGCATTAATTACTTGTTTTAGACTAAGAACAAGCTAAAGACTCCAAAAAGGGAAGGTACAAGTCACTTAGGAGTATTCAGACTTGGTTTCGAGGTAGGTGATGGTTCAATTTCCTGTTGTGGGATATATGAATGTTAAATGCTTCATTGTATGCATACATGTATGTGACTAGGGAAACACAAACCAATTCTAATGAAATAATTATGTGTGAACAATTACATTCCATGAACCTGTTACTAGAATGTGCGACTATGTGCACTGTTCATTATGGTGTGATTATGGTTGTGCTGACTGGATCAGGTGTCACATTCTGACACATATATTGGACTGGGTGTCACGTTTTTTATATATATATATATTGCACTGGGTATCACATTTTGACACAAATATTGGATCGGGTGTCACGTTCTAACATATGTATATTGTATCGGGTGTCACGTTTGGACACACTAACCGTTTGAGTAAAGGTTCCATGAGAGAACCATTGGTAATTGTTACATCTATATTTACCTATCATGGTTATTGGGAAATCGTATGTTGATCTAAAAGGATGATTGAATTGTGCATTATGTACATATGTGTTTAGTGTGTTATAATGATTTGCTTATATTATGCTTATTAGAATATTTGTGTGATCCTACTTTGTGTATTGATATTGCGCTTGATCTTTCCTAGTTGAGTACAAGGTATCTTCAGACGGCTATTGACATGCCTCAAATAGGAGATCATTGACCAAGACCGGATTCAAGGGTGAGTCAATTCTTTCAAGTTGTCATGGATCCATCATTAGTTTAGTCCATCCGACTCAGATTATATGTTTAGACTTGTTTATGTTTAGCTTTCGGGGTTACACCCCCTTTTCTTAGAATTTTTGGTTACCTGAGTTTTGATACAATGACTTTCAGTTTTAGGGATTGAATTTCCAAGAATAGTTGTTTGTTAGACTTTTAGAGTTTATGATAACTCTTTATTAAATTCATTATTTAAACTTGCTTCTATATCTTTAAATGGTTTAGTTTCTTTAAGTTGCATAGTTGGGTTGTAATAGTGATTCTCCCACTGGAGGGCTAGTGTGGGTGTCAATCACAGCGGTTTGGGTCGTGACACTTATGGAGTACAAACATATTCAGGCAACTGATACAAGACCTCAATTAAGATACGTGTGACTTCGAATCCAATGGTGAGATACTCTTCAAGGGTTCCTCTACATCTTATTTTCCATCTTTTTGGATACAGACTTTAGATTATTAGTGTATGTTTCCTATCTTTCGATGTTGCATCCCGGTTATTGACTAGTTAGAGTTTTAGTTCTACCACTTTCAGTTTCTAGGGGTTAATTTCCACAAATATTTTGACTATTAATTGAGTTTATGGGAACTCGATCCTTTATCAAATTTTAAGTTGCTCTTAGTTGTTTTCTTTCATTTTGGTTTCTACAACTGTTCTTTATGGGTTAGTAGTTGGTTCTCCCACTAAATGGTTAGTGTGAGTGCCACTCACGAAGTCTGAGTCGCGATAACAATTGAGAACATAAAAGGATTGGTGAGTTGTCTACTACCCTGGGCCTGGAACATGCATATCAACTATATTTGAATTCATAACAATATATTGTCTTTAATACAATCTCAATCCTTCCTATCGATATTTCTAATGTTCATAATAACATATTAGATAACAAGTTCTAGTTCAATTTAGTGAACAATTAATCATAACTCCTTATTTGTGTATTTGGGAGCAACATCAAACATTAGTAACTGGCTCACCTATATATGTTCTTATAGTCTTAAGAAGAGGTCTTACACATGAAGCACTTGATCTCTTGCAAAACCAAATCTGCAACTTGTGAGAAAGGGTCATTTGTGAAAAATCCATGTTGCATTTCTTCAAACTCAAAATAGTGAACATCCTCGTTTAGCTCTTTCATCTTGCTTGCATAATATTCAACTCTATCTTTGAGAAGTTCATTTCCTCCCACAATTACCAATAATGGATCGATCTTCTTGGGCTGGAGTTTTGGACTTAATGGACCAAATGGGTTAGCCAATGGGTGATCTGGAGTTGCTCCAATTGGAAGTGATAACCTCCAAAATCTGACCAATAAAGTACATAATAATTAATTAGTAGAGTATCATGCATATTTTCTATCTAATCAATTAGTGATTGGACTAGCTAGAGGTGTTAATGCAATGATTTGCTCGATCGTAACTGAAATATCCAAAAGGCATAAGAGTTTATATTTTTATTTTTTTCAATATGAATTCGAATCCAAGATAGCAATTACTTTATTTATGAATTTTTTACTAAACTAAGTTATTATATAAAGCAATTTATTAAAATAATACATTCTTTAAAAATTTTACAAAACTAATATAAACGTATTTCATAGTAACGTTTTAGGGTGTATTTTTGTTTTTTTAAAACTAACAGCGTTAGGTTGTTATATGTTACTGTAAGTAACGTTTTACTTCTAAAACGTCATTTTAAGTAACGTTTTACACCTAAAACATTATTGTGAGTAACGCTTTAGGAGCAAAATGTGACTGTGAGTAACGTATATCAATCTTACCCCGTCAACTTTTAAAAAATGAAATATACCCTAAAACGTTACTATGAAATACGTTTATACTAGTTTTGTAAAATTTTAGAAAAACATATTATTTTGATGAATTGCTTTGAAAACCTCCTTTATTTATTATAATTTATAGCCCCTCAAACCTTTTGACTAAGATTTGAACCATCCTATTTGTGCCATAGACTCAAATATGGTGAAATTGAATTGAAAGTGCATTCTTATAGATTGAGTTTCCGTATAATTTTTTACTAGAATCAACTTCAAACAAGCACCCTCCTAGAATATAAAGAGTTAGGTGTAGAAAAAGTTGTAAAATTAAAGGTCTTCAAGTCTTTTTTTCTCAATAGTACGGAATATTTGTTAATCTGACTCCGTGGGTGGGTTAACAGACTATGAAAGTTTTCAGGGGCGATGTACTGGTCCATCAACCAAGCCCTCATAACACAAGAATCTTTCCTTCACGGGCACTTGTACGTATAAGCCTCTGTCGAAGACGACCTTCAAGAGCCCAAATCTCCTTTGCTTTCACGGACTCCCTCATGGACCTTGAAATGATGTACAGTCCATGGAAGGCAGTCGTAAAAGGCTTCCATCAATATCTAAGTCAACTATTTTAATTCTCATACTATGTCTCTTTGACATATTATTCCCTCGTAATTTTCCCCGAATTAGATTTATTCTCTGTCAAGTCTTTTCTCATATATTAACTAGGGTTTCAAGCTTTAAGTATTCATTTCTAGAACAAAGTCAAAGTTTTTCCTCCAGGTATGTGGGAATTTTATCAGTATCCCAAAAAATCTTAGAATTTCAAAGTTTATGATTCTTAGAATTTTCAATGATCTTCATGAGTTTTGAATAAATATCAATTTTCTTTATGATCAACTCACAATATTTTACCCATGAATTTCCATGATTTCAAGTATAATTTCGTGTTTTCAATGATAATTTCATGAACTATATCATGGAAGTATTTTCATGATTAAAATTATGCTATTCCCATATGCATGTCTCAGATTATCTGATTTTCATGAATTATGATACTTTCAGATTATTTTCAAGCTATCATGATATATGATGCTTTTAGATAAAGTATCTCTCGGTATGTTTTCAATAATCATGATTTAGGAGCTACTCGATCAATATGTATCAGTTATTGTATGATTTAATAGTATAGATTATTATTATTTTTCAGATTATACATGTTTTCATATGAAGTATACTTAGCATTGAGTGATCTTGTCAGATGAAGGTTTATGTTTAGCGTATGTGGGCCTTTAGTAGCAATCCCTAACTCTCAGAACTATGTGTCATCATAGAATTTGTCTCATATAGACACTAACTAGTGGATCTACCATAGTTGTCCTTACCTTGGAAAGTATTAGGTACTCGTTTTTCAGTGTGGTACCGAGAAGTATACTAAACTTCATGTTGTTGTTTACATTGTTTATGTTGGTTATCAATATCTCTCTCAATCATGATTTTAGTAATTGGATGTCCTAGTAATTATGAATTTCATATCAGTTTACTCAGTTTTCATGTTATTTTACTTGTTCATGTTTATTATGCATATTCCTCAAACTCAGTACATTCAAAGTACTATTCATATACTGTTGGTGTGACATTTTAATATTAAAAAATATATATTATATGTCACATTATATATTATGTTATGTCTATTGATAGACATTACATTTGTGCCTCTTTACTCTCATCAATTATGCAAGAAAATGGTCATTAGTTTTTAGTAACTTATGTAACCCCACCAACTCTTCATTTCATCCATTATTCTATATTTATGTCTTGTAACTTATGTAACATTTGAGTCATTCATTTGGCAAATTTACTACCCACTATCTCCTATTCATTGCAAGGAAGAATTCATCACTTATAAATAGTGTAGTCTTCATTTGTGTTGAGATAGGAGAAGAAACAAGAGAAATACAAGAAAATATAGAGTGAAAAAGATGAGTAGTATTACATTGAGGTTAGTGTAGTGAAAGAGAGAATTGAGATATAGAAAATATTCTAAGTCTTCAATTATATTCACTATACAAAAGAGAGTATTATATGTTGAAGGAAGGTGTTCATTTGTGGAGCTTTGGACTCTTCAACTAATCCGGAGTTGTTTGAGTTATACACTGTTGTTGGGCTGCTTTATCCTGGATGGGACAAGTCAAGAGTTATACTGCTGGATCGGTGTAGATTATGCCGCAGTGGGCTTGAATCTCCTTAAAGAAAGCGGGATATCTGTGCCTCAGCCTAAAGATTTATTTCTTCATTTTATTTTTAATTGTAATCTTGCAATTTTATCATATTGTAAGTTTTTTCACTAACATATACTTTTTGTTATAATGTTTGATAATATATATAGGTTCTAAAACTCATCCTCTAGCCTGTGGTTAATACAGATACAGTCAGCGTTGGTTAGCTTTGTTGAGTCCTCATGATCCGAGGACGACCCCCCCCCCCCCTCTATTCATGAATTAAGTAGTTATCTTTCAGGTTCAAACATTTAAAGTGACATAGGGGTTTGTCCTACACACTCCTGTTATTAGAGATTCTTCAAACAATCAGTTTATATTTCTGCTATATATGCTGTCTCGCAAATATTGTTTATATTGCGACTACGAATTATATCCAAATATTTCAGTTTTAGCTACCGCATATATGTTACAGGTTTCTATTAATTTTGATAATGTTAGTATTATGTCATGTCATAAGGTTAGTTTGAGATCACTTGTAATTTTAAGCACCGTGTCATATTTAGGCGATAGGCTCGGCACGTAACAGTTATAGCAACACAAGTTCGTTGAGATGTTTGAGAGTATGTGTGGTTAATTTTGAAGGATAATCTAAAATTCACCGTAAAAAAGAAGATAAAATGAACTTGGAAATTCAGCATAGTCAACTGGTTGTATTTGTTATATGTTTGTAATGAAATAAGGTTGATAATTATTATGGGGGATGATGGCGGTTTCAAAATTATAATGTGTGATTGGAGGAACCTCAAAAAAAGTTACATAATTAGTGAATTATATTGTGATAGGTGGAAAAGAATAATGAATCCATATTGAGGAATTCCAATATGAAATTAATAAGTGGCCTTGAAATAAAGTAAGGAGGTGAAATTAATAAGTGTCGTACATGATTGAGTATTGCCTTTAGTCTGATTAATGTAACTAGAATATGATGATGTAGGTATAGAAATTGTGATAGATAAGAATATTATTTGGAGATATTGTACAATCGTGAGACCAATAGGGATATAATTTTCCCAAGTGTGTGACTGTTTATTAATTGCAGAATTTATTGTGATTGTTGTGTGTTTTGTGACTCTTATTCAGCTATTATGACTAATTTGTACATTTTTATTATTGTGTTGTCTTACATTTGTTCCGGATTATTATGTTGGATAAAATGATAATCATAACCAGGATAATGCCAAACTAAATAGCAATAGGAAGAGATTAATAATGACACCAAATATTAAAATGGGTAAATATGATACCCGAATAAGTAATACAATGATATTGATGAAAAAATTGATAGTGTCAAAAGACTAATACTCAACACTCTTTTATTTCTTATAACTCACAATAATATTACTTCCACACTATTTTCTCACAAACTAAGAAGTAGTTTGTGGATTACTCTCTCTACTCTCTATTGCTTCTCTACTTTGGTGTGTCTTCAAGTGTTCAATTACTACTCTATTTATCGAGTTTTTTTGAACACTTGTTTACATCATTAATGACATAATGTGGTAGTCAATTTCAACAAAAAAATTGGTTGTCTAACACTACCAAACTTTGACTACCTACTTCCACAAATGTGGCTATCAACTTTCACATTGGTGGCTACCAATTTTCACATTTGTGACTAGTAATTTCAACAAGTATGGCTGCCAAATTAATTGTTGCCAAGATTTATTTCCATAAATCTCTCCCTAAATTTTGATTTTCCTTCTTTACTCCAAGGCTTTATCTCAATCTCTGAAAAATTTCAAACTTGAGAGGCTTAGTAAAGATATCCACAACTTTATCATGAGATTTCACATACTTGAGCTCTATCTCTTTCTTGGCAATGCATTCTCGGATAAAGTAATACGTTGTGTCTATGTGCTTGCTTCGATCATGATTCACTGGATTCTTTGCTAGTGCTTGCACGGATTTATTATCAACACACAACCAAATAGCATGACACGTGCATGATGTCGCTGCCACATATTCAGCTTCACAAGTCGAGAGAGTAACAATTGATTGTTTCTTTGTACTCCAAGAGATAACACAATCACCCAAGAAAAATACAAAACCTGATGTGCTTTTTCCATCATCAACATCTCCCGCATAATCACTATTACAATATCCCACAAGATTAAAATCATTAGAAGAAGAATAAAATAGCCCAAGATCGATTGTACCTTTTAGATAGCGAAGAATTCTTTTAGCAACCTTCAAGTGAGTGGAGGTAGGAGCTTCCATGAAGCAACTTACTACTCCAACTGCAAAGAGTATATCT